TTTTTTTTTGAGTTTGAAGACTTTAAACTTCAATTTACGACTTGGCCAATTCTCTTTTCGAACCCAATTTAAGGACAAGTTGAGCGGACATTTTTGAACGAGAAACGTGGTTGGGGAATGGTCATTACGATTCTTGACTTGGATTTTAGGGTTTAGCCGGAATTTTGAAAAAAAAACTTGAAAAAAAAATATCGACCGGTCGATTTTTTTTCAATTTTTTTTGAAAAATTTAGAATTATGGTTAGATTTTATAGTTTACAGAGTAATTTTACTTTTGCAAGCAAAAAATATTTTTCGACTGGTCGATTTTTTCAAAAAAAAATTTTTTTTTGATATTACTACAGCAACCTATTTCCCTACTAATGTCACTACCTTTATGAATATTGACTTGCTTTCGTCCAAAATTTTACCCAGCCCGAAATTTTACCCTGCCCAAAACTTTATCTTGCCCAAAATTTTACCCCGCCCAATTTTTTTCTCTGCCCAAAATTTTACCCCGCCCAATTTTTTTCTCTGCTTAAAATTTTACCATGCCCAAAATTTTACAGTACCTTCCATTTTACTCTGCTTATTACTTTTACCCTACCCATATTTTACTGAGTAAACCCTCTTTTCCGAGTTTTAAGTACAGCCCCTTAAGCGAGAGAGTCGTTAAGGGGACCCAGATGTGGCGGAATTCTGAAGATTCCCGTTGTTTATTGCTTAAATATGTGGGGCTGTAAATGGGCTTCAAATCGAGGACATTCAGTTGGCTTCAATTTGGTTAATCGGATAATTACTGGGGGGGGAGGGGATAGGAAAAAGAAGAAGGGGGAAGGGGGGGGAGGGGAGGGGGGTATGAAACGATTTCGAAATGAAAGAAGCTAGGGCTTAGCCTACGGCGTACTTGGGCATGGGCATGGGCATGGGCATGGGCATGGGCATGGGCATGGGCATGGGCATGGGCATGGGCATGGGCATGGGCATGGGCATGGGCATGGGCATGGGCATGGGCATGGGCATGGGCAAAGTAGGGTATGGCAAGAATAGGGCCTACCCTACTTTACCCTACCCTACTCTAGGGTTGGGTATGGTAAGGTTTTATTTCGTAACCATCACCTCATTATCGATGGTAATATCCGAGAAGAATAGGATCAAAGAAATTCGACTGATCGTCAATTTTTATGGTATTTTGATTGGTCATCAATAGGGGTTCAATTGGGTGCAAAAGTCTTTAGAAATGGGTTTTTAAAGCTTGACTCTACCTAGTTTTTCAATTTTTTGTATTATAAAGAAAGTTCTTGCCGTTTTGTGTCTTGTAAAGAAAGTTCTTGCCATTTCTAAGTTTGTAAAGAATGTTCCTGCCAAACCCAATAGACCAGTCCAGCTAACCTTGTCCCCAATTCGACTGTCAATAAAAGGGCGTGTTTCTCATGAAAAGACATTTTTAGGTAACAAAAAACGCATTTTGTGACAGTTTTTATGACCAACGGCGAGGCTTTTGTACAAAAAATAAATTCGATTTGAATGGATGACTTTTCGAGCTCGTTTTTAATAGTATTTACAAACTTTTTTTGGGAGGGCGGAGGGGGGTGAAGTCATGCCCGAGCTGGGAAAATTTCGAAAAGTTTGCTTTGAATTTGAATATTTTAGTTTTTTGCACTGTGCAATCTGAAAATCGTTTGTTTGCACAGTGCAAGACTTTTTATTGGCTGCACAGTGCAGTCATTTATTTAATTGTTCAATTAATTCTGTGCTCGGTCTCAAAGCGAATTTTTGGGGTTAGGGGCACAGAATTATTTGAACAAGTGAATATTTTACAGTTTGCAATGTGCAATGAATAAAAAAACTGCACAGCGCAGTTTTTAAAAATGACTGCACTGTGCAGTTTTAAAAATAGACTGTACAGTGCAAATGGAAATAACAAAATTTAGTTTTACGATTAAACGGCAAGAACTTTCTTTACAAAACAAAAAAGGGCAAAAACTTTTTTTACAAAACAAAAAATGGCAAGAACTTTCTTTACAAATGAAAAAATGGCAAGAACTTTCTTTACAAAACGAAAAATGGCAACTGCATGTACTTTTAGGCTTAAAATAAGCCTAAGCCTATTCATTTTTCAAGACAAATTACAATTTTATTTTTGTCATGTTTGTCAAACTACTTCCTTACATATTATTCATGGCCGAAGGAAAGAGAAGGAATCTTAAAAGTAAAGTTTCTCATGGCCATTCAATCTTGTTTTGTTTGTTTTTTTGGTTGAAACCACCACTATTTTTAACGTTTTCTATGACATTTTTAAAGAAAGGGCAAAAACTTTCTTTACAAAATGTAAAATGGCAAAAAAGTATATGCGTCATATAACTTGTGACCCGCAGGCTGCAGAGCACAAAAGTTTGTTTTTTGTGAAAAAATAGCAAGAACTTTCTTTACAAAACAAAAAACGGTTTAAAAACAAAAAATTTTTTCGTCTTAAAAAGCAACTGCGTATTTTACCTCCTAAACAATATTTTTTGTATATTCGCTATTACTATTTGACATGCCCTAAGGCGTTTATTCTCTTATGATGGGAGGAATCAAAGCTTGTGCAAACAAACCCTTAACCGGAAAAACATATTTTTTTAGTAATTTTATGAGTTACGAGGTGCGGTACGAAAAGGCATATTTATGACATTACGATCAAATAATCGAAGATTTAGGTGATAATAAGGGTTTGTAAACAAAGTTCTTGCCATTTTATGTTTTGGAAAAAAAATTTCTTGCCATTTTATGTTTTGGAAAAAAAAGTTCTTGCCATTTTATGTTTTGTAAAGAAAGTTCTTGCTATTTTATGTTTTGGAAAGAAGGTTTTTGCCACTTTATGTTTTTAAAAAAAAGTTCTTGCCATTTTACTTATTTTCAGCATATTTTTGAGTTCTGCAGCTTGCGGGTGACAAGTTATACGCAGAATGTAAAAATTATGACATTTTTGGTTTGTAAAGAAAGTTCTTGCCATTTTTTGTTTTGTAAAGAAAGTTCTTGCCATTTTTTTGGTTTGTAAAGAAAGTTCTTGCTTTTTTGACCGGTTGAAAAAAAATTTCAAATAAAAAAAATTTTTTTCGTTCATGCCTAACCAAAATGACCTTGTTTACCATTCCGCTTATAACGTATAATATAATACGCAATACGTTGATAACGTCTGCCATTTCCCATTACAATCAATGTTTTTGGAAGTGGCTCGAGTTATTAATCATAATCTCGACCTCTGCCAGTGACAACGCTGATTGATGGGGAGGGCTAATGAATGGCTAGAATAATATTTGGCTTTTAATTAGTTTTAATCGCGTTTTGAAGGGGGTTTTAATGGGCTTTGGGGGTGGATTTTGATATTTTACCCTGCCTTGCCCTACTCTACCCTACCCTACCCTACCCTACCCTACCCTACCCTACCCTACCCTACCCTACCCTACTCTACCCTACCCTACCCTACCCTATCCTACTTTACCCTACCCTACCCTACCCTACCCTACCCTACCCTACCCTACCCTACCCTACCCTACCCTACTCTACCCTACCCAATCCTACTTTACCCTACTTTACCCTACTCTACCTTAAGTTACAGTACCTCTACTACTCATATTACAATAGCCTAACTACCCCCACTACCCATCTCACCCTAACTTACAGTAACCATACTACTCGTTGTTAAAGTACCTTTACTACCCATATCACTTATACTACAGTATTCCTCCCCTGCCCTGCCCTACCCTACCTTCCACTACTTGGCACTTGGCCCTACTTTATATTACAGTACCCATACTACCCTATATTAACGTACTCTTATTACCCCTATTACCCCACATCTCATAACTTTCGGCACGGTCATCAAAGTCATCAAAGCCAATTTCGGGCGCACCTCGTAAAACAGCTCGTAACCTTCTCCGGAGAATACATTACTTTTGTCGGTTTTGCGGGAAAAAAGTCAAAAAAATCAAAAACAATCGCACTGGAAATGTCGCCATAATTAGCCCTATTTGGGCCTTATGAACGGAAAAGAGTGCCGTAAATAATGACAGTAAGGCCGGGGTAAAAATTCAGGGAAGAGGGAAAGAAAGGGTGAAATGTCCGGAGGGTCAAAGGGGTTTCGAAAATAGGGTTTGTAAAGAAAGTTCTTGCCATTTTATCATTTTTAAAGAAAGTTCTTGCCATTTTTGTTTTGTAAAGAAAGTTTTTGCAATTTTTGATCTGTAAAGAAAAGTTTTGCCATTTTTTGTTTTGTAAAGAAAGTTCTTGCTATTTTTTGTTTTGTAAAGAAAGTTCTTGCCATTTTTTGTTCTGCAAAGAAAGTTCTTGCTTTTTTGTTTTGTAAAGAAAGTTCTTGCCATTTTTTGTTTTGTAAAGAAAGTTTTTGTCATTTTTTATTCTGTAAAGAAAGTTTTTGCTACTTAATGTTTTGTAAAGAAAGTTCTTGCTATTTTTTGTTTTTTAAAAAAAGTTCTTGCCATTTTTTCATAGCGTGATCATTGTAAACAAAGTTTTTGTTTCATATTATATTTTTCGTGAAATTTTGAAATTTCGATTTTTTAAAATTTAAAATTGATTTGTTTCAGATTCTCCGTCGATTCGAAACTCTGTTTCATCAAAGGCGTTTGCCGCTCGGCTGATCATTTATGTCATGATTGTTTTCACGGATATTTCGGCGTGAACTATATCTGATTCGACGACAAAAAGAGACGATACCTACTCTCGAGGGAGTTGTCGCCTGAGGGGAGGAAAGGCAACGGATAATTGTCGATGATTACAGGGAAATTTTGTTGACAAAGGGGAAAGAAGGGTAGGGATAAGGGCAGTACGGGTAGTGAAGGGGGATGGAGGGACAATAAATTTTGTGGTAAGTAGAAGCATGATCTGTTTTGGAAAGAAAATTCTTGCCATTTTTTGGTTTGTAAAGAAAGTTCTTGCGTTTTTCATTTTCAAACTAAAAACAGGGATTTTTGCAATTTTTATCAAAATATTACCTAAAAATAATATTTTTTATTACATTACAACATATACACAAGATGGCTCATTCCAGTTGACCTCTCTCCCTGCCAAACCCTAATATAATCCACAAGCATTTGAGCCGGCAGCTTGGCAGTAATTTGTTTTGGATCATAAATTTCTGGCAATGTTCCACCAATAGCCAAGTCTAATAAAAAGTAAAAGGGTTTGTGAAAAGTGTCATGCTCAGTAATGTTAAACTGCCCATATTGTTTGTCATCCAGGTAGAATACAATATCAGTGACATTCCAGTCCACGCGATAGACGTGGAAGTCCGTTGATTGATCTTTATTTGTTTCTACTTGACCCCATGCCCCCGGGCCAGCTTCATGAATACCGTAGGTGAAGAAGCTGTTGGTGTAGTCGGGGTACCCGTACTCGAAAACGTCAATTTCACCACAGTCTGGCCATTGTGGGCTATCTGTACCGAGAAGCCACCAGGCTGGCCAAAGACCTTTGGTAATTGATGGGATTTTTATGCGTGATTCAAAGGTACCATACCTAGAATAGTGGTGTGAATTTTAGTACTGTACTTAAAATTTAGGTATTATATTTAGTCAATAGTAAACCTACTTAAAACTAAAATTTGACAACATTCTGGCAGAAGTGAAGTTTCTATTTCCATAATTTTCTCTTCTAGCTTCAATAATCAGTATGCCATTTTCAGCACGAGCATTTTGAGTTCTATTAGTATAATATTCTAATTCTTCATTACCCCACCCATTACCACCTATATCAAAATGCCACGCTTTTGCGTCGATTGTGTCAAAGTTTTCTTCATAGATTAGCTTTTTGGCTGTTAACGTAGGCAGTAAGATGGTTAATAGAAGAACATTTTGATGGACGAGCATTTGAGCTGGTGGTAGATAGGTGGGTAGAGTTAAATAGGAGATGAGTGCAGTAGATCTTGGTATTAACTGGAGAAGTTGCACTTTTTCTTAACGGTAGTATTAATTTCTCAAGATGATAGACGTGGCAGATCTAGGTAATAACAGTAGAAGTGCGATGTAACTTAAGGTGGTATTGATTTCTCAAAATTATAGATGTAGTAGATTTATGTATTAAAAATTGAGTTGCGTTGTACCTCAAAGTAGTATTAATTTCTCAAAGTGGAGAATGCAGTAGATCTATTCCTAATAAGTTGTAACAGTAGAAATGCGGTATAAATTAAGGTAGCACCAAATTCTCAAGATAACTTAAAATAGAGTTAAGAGCTTTCTTTAACTTCCTCGAAGCACTTTTGAATTTGCTTTGACACTTGTTTTATTAGTAGCCTTCGATCAAAGAGTATCTCAAGTAGGCAAGGCCATGTAATAATTGTTCCATTGCATATTTATAACGTTTCTTCTGTTTATCACAAACAAAATGTTATCGGAACAATCAAAAAGATAACAGAAACAATTAACATTTTGCTCGAAAATTTTTATTTGAACTATTGTTTAAAGGTTATAAAAAAAAACACTTTTTGTAACTTGCTTTTAGTACTTTTTTTAACATTTTAAAATTACACAATTAGAAAACTCATTAGATTTTATTTAAAAAATCATTCGAAGTTATAATAATCACTGCCAAACCTTAATATAGTCTACGAGCATTTGAGCCGGCAGCTTGGCAGTAATTTGTTTTGGATCATAAAGGTCTGGCAAGTTTCCTCCTACAGCCAAGTTTAACAAAAAGTAAAAAGGTTTGTAAAAAAATTCATGCTTTTCTATATTAAGCTTGCCATACTTTTTATCGTCCAGGTAGAACACCAGATCAGTGACATTCCAGTCCACACGATAGAAATGAAAGTCAGTTGATTGATCTTTATTTGTCTTTACCCCACCCCACGCCCCTGGGCCAACTTCGTGAATGCCGTAGGTAAAGTAGCTGTTTGTGTAGTTTGGGTACCCGTACTCAAAAACGTCAATTTCGCCACAGTCTGGCCAATATGGAGTAGTTGAGCTTTTTAGCCACCAAGCTGGCCATAGGCCTTTGGTAATTGATGGGATCTTTATACGGGGTTCAAACGTACCGTACCTAAACCAGCTAGCGCCAAATTCAAAAACGTCTACTTCGCCACGTTCTGGCCAAGTTTTAGGGTTACGACCTTCAAGCCATAAGGCTGGCCATAGGCCTCTAGCTAATTTAGGGATTTTGATTCGGGCTTCTAGGGTTCCATATCTGCAAGGTTATTTTTTAAAAGTAGAAACGATCTTCCAACATCATGGAGGTAAGCTTTTACCAAAACCCAACTTACTGATAATCAAACAAGCCTTCACTTCTAAGCCTAGCCGAGGTAAACGCACAGCCAGTAAAATTTTCTTGTCTGGCTTCAATAACAAGATTTCCATCTTCAGCACGAATGTTTTCTGATCTATTAGTATAACATTGAAGCTCCTTGTTAACCAGGTTCGCGCCCAAGTTAAACCACCATTTGTTTAGGTCGGGGGTGTCAAAGTTGTCTTCCCATATTAGTTTTTGGGGCTTTATTGGGCATATTAGCAGCACAAATAACATTAACTTTAACATTCTGTTAAAATTTGAAACAAATTTTTAGAATTTAATGATAATTTGATCGTTTTTAAAAGGTTTTAGACATGAAACACCGTCAATTAAATTTAGGGTTTGGTTTTAGTTAAAGAATTTTATTTTTTAATCGCTTTAACAAACCAATAGTATATTCAATTATAATGCTAGATAATATAGTATTTTTGCTTTATTCGTTGTATTATTTACTATAAAAAATCATTTTAATTGATGTGAGCAACATTTTGTTTAAAAATTCATTTTAAATTTGACCTTTTTTCTCTCTTTCTCTACTCTCTCTGTGTCTTCTCGTCTCTCTTTCGCTATCCTCTTTTTCTTTCACTATTTGCTAATTTCTACTGTAATATCAGTAATAAAAAGTTTATTAATAACAAAAAAATGCATAAAGTAAGTTAAATTTAATACAAAAAGTTAAAGCTTATTGAGTAACCTTAATGTAGTCCACCCACATTTGACCAGGTGCAGCAGTGATTGCATTAGGATCATGAATATTTGGGTAATTTCCACCAACAGCCAAGTTCAATATCAAATAAAACCGTTTTTTGAACACATCCAATGGCGTAATGTCAATTCGGACATACTCTTGATCATCTACATACATTATGATGAACTGTTCGTTCCACTCCATTTTGTATGTATGAAAACCATCGTTCATGTCATTCGGCATTACTTTAGACTTGCCGTAATCAGCTTGATTACCGTTGTTACTCCAGTGAAAGGTGCCTTGTAGCATACGATTGCCAATGCCTTGGTTCAAGGAATCTGCTGAGCCGTATTCAAGGACATCGATTTCTCCTTGATCTGGCCAAGTTGAACCTTCGGCCCCTAAGAGCCAAAAGGCTGGCCATAGGCCGTTTTGAACGTTGGGGATTTTGATTCTTGCTTCGAGGGTACCGTACCTGCAAAGGGCAGTTTTTAATGTAGTTTCTGGACAACACTAAAATTTAAAGGTTAAACAACACTAAGTTTTAAAGACAGGGTCAAAGACGTCGCTGGGAAGGTGGTTGATATGGAAAAAAACCTAAAGCGACCTATAAGATAAGAACTAACAAGCCAAAAAAACCTTACTGAAAGTCGAAATTGCCTCGAGTGATCATTCTGGCTGATGTAAAAGCGCATCCACCATAGTCTTCTCTTCTTGCTTCAATCACCAAATGTCCATCTTCTATTCTAGCATTTTCTTGTCTATTAGTATAGTATTCCAATTCAGCATTACCCCATCCACCTGGACCATTACCTTCTTCAAACAACCATTTAGACCCGTCAATGTTGTCAAAGTTGTCTTCAAAGATTACATTTTGTGCTGATACTACTGCAACACACAGTAGTAAGATCTTTACTGTCATGGGGATCATAGTGGTAGTTTTGTTTTAGCAAAGAGTATAATAGTGCCACCAATAGGTTTGATATACAGAAATTAAAGCCAATGAATAGTGGTATGAACTAACGTTTTTCATCCTGCTTATATACAGCTGTTGTTGTTGTCCTCATTACTATAAAAAATGTTTTTTTGGAATATGTATATCCGGTATTACAAAACATGGTTTAAAATATTTGTCGCTTTTGTAGAAAAAAATTCTTATAAACATTTGATAAACGGTATATATTAAGTACGTAGTTCCGTTTAGATGATTCTTGATTAGTTATTAATATTGTTTACCGTTTATAAACAGTTTTCGATTAGTCACTTTTTTATTAATTTTTGATTTTTTTATAATTCTTTCTTTCACCTCTCTTCCTTCCCTCCCCCTCTCCTGAAAAAAAAAACTGTAGAGAAATTCCTAATACCATGTTTCATAAGGTTAATATGTTGGAGTTTAAATTTATTACTTTTTTATATGCAAATACACCTTTATTTACTGTGAATTAAGTTACCGGTACAATAATACACATTTGAAAACGCAAAGATTCAAACAAAAACTACCGCAATACTACTCAGCTCAATGATAGACTTTGAGCTTACTAGTAGACTATAAGCTTATTGGTAGACTCTGATGTAGTCAACCAACAATTGAGCTGGAAGTGGAGCAGTAATACCATTGGGGTCAGTGATGGCTGGGAAGTTACCACCAACAGCCAAATTGATGATAAAGTAAAAGTTTTTTTGGAAGGTTGGGATAGCGGAGATGTCCATAGCTTGGTATTGAATACCGTCAACGTACATGGTGATCAAAGATTCGGTCCATGTGACGTTGTAAATGTGGTAGTCAGCACTCATGTCTGTTGGGGAAGTGTAGGTAAGACCGTAATCGGCTTCGGCTCCGTTGCTTTCCCAGTGGAAGGTTCCGAAGAGTTCGGTGTTACCCGTCCCGGCGGCCAAAGCAGCTTGAGCTCCGTACTCCATAATATCGATTTCTCCTTGTTCGGGCCAGGTGTCACTGGTAGAACCCAACATCCAGAAAGCGGGCCACAAACCGGCGGTGATGCTTGGGATCTTGATTCTGGCGACAATGGTGCCGTATCTAAAGCAACAAAGGTTTATAAGGTCATACAACGGTTATCGTCATGCTCTCTATATCTCTTTTTAAAGCAACATTGTTCATTGACTGTCTTATACATATCTCAACTACTTACAAGAAGTCGTATTTGCCCAAAGTCGTCAACTTTCCAGAAGTGAAAGAGAATCCGTTTGAATCTTCACGAATGGCTTCAATGACCAAGTTACCATTGTCAACATACACATTGCTAGTGCTGTCAGTGTAGTACTCCAACTCGGCGTTACCCCATCCGTTCACACCATTACCCAAATCGTAGTTCCATTTGGTTGTGTCCAAAGTGTCAAACTCGTCTTGCCAGACAATGCTTTGAGCCGAAACAGCGGTAAGAAACAACAAAGCGTACAATGGACTCATGGTTAATATTTGGAAGCCCAAACTTAACTCCGATACAATCGAAACATTCGAAAGCCGGCTATTTATACAGAGTTCGAGCTTGGGATTATTTGCATATTTGGGCGGCCTTTAGGCAACAATCATATCCGCTGCTTTTTGTATTTGGTTTAAAACTTAAATTCGAAAAAAATTGATTGGCAAACAGTTTGGGTTAGACTGCTCGTTTTGGTAAAAGTGCAAACATTCATAACGCTTTATTTTAATTACTACCGCGATCGAAAGTGTAAAATCATCAAGTAACAAGTCATGGCAGTATCTCTCAAGCTCTTCGGTGTAGTCATTCAAGGCTTCATTCCACCATTCATCTTCTTGTAAGCGAATGCAACACTCTTGAAAATTAGAATAAGTTTTTTCAAGCAAGATTTGGTCGAATTTGAGTCAGTTTGGTGCCTTTCAAACTTGCCTTGTGGTCGGTCGTGGCAATATCAAGTCTTTGGTCGATAACTTTGCAACCGCTTGACTTCATTTTGAACTTCTGGAAATTAGAATAAGTGGTTTTGAGCGAGAACTGCTTTAATTCAAATCGGTTTGGTGCTTTTCGAACCTGCCGTGTGGTCGGTCGTGGCAATATCAATCAAGTCTTCGGTCTGTATTTTTTAGCCTTGTAGTTTTGCTTGGTTGGAATTAAAATTTTTATTAAATATCTTGGTTTGCTTGGTATATTGGTTTTGCTTTAATCGTATTTTAGATAGTCTTTGAACTAGGCTAGTCGGCTTTGCTAAAGAGTTTCTTTCTTCAACTATTTATACATCTGCTTTGAACCATTTATTACTAATCGATTTACTTAGTTCATCATCAAATCTTGTTCTTTTTATAGGGTTATTCTTTTTTAATAAAGGTAGGGTAGAGTATTTTTTGTTATAGTTTAACAATAAAGTGTATCCTCAAATTCCAAGAATCTGTTTACATTAGCCATACGTGAGATTCCCAATACTCCTCATATTATTACGTTGGTTTCTGATTTATATAAAAAGCAACTGTCTACTTCTCTTCTACTCCGCATGACCTCTAGCTGTTTGCTACATTCTATTTTGTTCTTCCGCAAATATTATGCATGCTAAGTAATCATACACTGTTATGCGAGGCACGGTAACTGTTCTAAGCTGATTAAACAAACGTTTCCGTTTTTTTTCGAGAGAGTTAAAGTTTTTTTTTGAATTTTAAAAAAGCATTGAAACACTGTCAATACTTTTGAAAATGTATGGCCTTGATCGAATGACTGTTGGTCTTACAAACATGAACTTTTGCTTTGACTTTTTAAAATTATGCAAATCTTAAGCACGGTATGAACTTAGGAAGCTATAGATGAAAGTGCATTTGACATTGAATTAGTGTCAACAACACCAAGATTAACATATATTAGAAAAGTGAACTTTCGCCAATGTTTAAAATGGTAGGCCAAGCTAGAAACTATACCAAAAGTTTGCCATACAAGCGTATATTATACTATGCATATGTTCCTATGTATTTCAAACTCAGTACACTATACAACATTAAAAAGATGACGAAAATTAACTAATTACATTATTATCAAAAGTTTGAACAAGTGCCCTTATGTCACATTTAAACAAAGTACGTTTTATATGTTTACAGATGCATTTTTGAATGTCCGGTTTTTAAAATTATTTAAACAGACATTTTAAAAATAAAATCAGGACGTTCGATTAATTTCCAAATATGTTATTTACACAAAAATGGCTAAGGAATACAGTACAATGGAACTTCTGTATAAAGAATCAACCATGGATTTAAAAAATTTTCGTTATAAAAACTTTTCGTTATACAAGAGTTTAAATGCCTTATAAAGCATTAAGATTTTAAAGTTGTTCGATATACAGAATTTTTGATGCAGAGCAGTTTGTCATATGGATGTTACACTGTATCTCATTACCGTGACTGTTCGCGATATTAATAACTATACCTTTTATTTTCTGGTAATTTTGTTTTTTTCAGATTTGGCAAAGCACATAAGCCAGCTTACTGCAACGACAAGTTTTTCAATTTATTACAGTGTACATACTGTAACCACTCTAGCTTTGGCCCTAGCTTATTCTAGCTCTATCTTATTACTGTTCAAGGTCTAAACCAAAGCCTAAGCCTAATTTCTAAGCCTAAGCCTAAGACTAAGCGTAAACTTAAGCCTAAGCCTAAGCCTAAGCCTAAGCCTAAGCTTAAGCCTAAGCCTAACCCTAAGCCTAAGCCTAAGCCTAAGCCTAAGCCTAAGCCAAAGCCTAAAACTAAGCTAAAGCTTCTACATACCCTTAATGAAAGCCTAATCTTATGCATAAGACCCAGTTTCGCCTTAGTCTCTACATTACCACGCCATTTCCCGTTCACCTTGTAACAAGCTTACCATCCCCAATTACCGTCTCTAATTATTCGCATACTCAGTAATTCTTTTGCGGCACTTTTTTGCGCGCGACAGGTAGCGAAGAGCGGCGAATCGCAAAGGCCAGAACAAGTGGCCAGATCATTGCTTCCCGAGAATGGGCTGAGTAGTTGTGCCGAAAATTACTGCGTCAAGATTTATTAAGTGCCGAGACGTTTTTTGATCTTCTGGATTGTAACGAATTGGATTAGGTGGGGGAATGGGCTGGGGAATGGGCTCGGGAATGGGGTGGTAGGGTGGGAAGTATGGTAGGGATGGGTGAGGGTTGGAATTGGTTTTTTTTTGAGCTGCGGGGGGGGAAGGGTGGTAGAGCGGATAAAGGTTAGCATGGGTGAAGGGCAAAGGGTTGTAGGGTGAGAAATATGGTAGGCATGGGTGAAGGGAAGGGGACGGAACAAGGTAGACAAAAATAGGCATGCGTAAGATTTTTTTGTACGAGGGAGGGCTGGGAGGGGTAAAAATGTGAAAAAATTTTCAGGATGAAAAATTGCAAGAACTTTCTTTACAAAACAAAAAATGGCAAGAACTTTCTTTACAATACAAAAAATGTCAAGTAGTTTCTTTACAAAATAAAAAATGCCAAGAACTTTCTTTACAACTCAAAAAATGACAAAAAATTTTGAAGAATTATATTTTATGAAATTTTTAATTTCGAACTTTCAATAAACCTTGAAACCGTCGAGAGTATGCCCAAAAGCCTTGAGTAACAATGAAGCCGATCACGCAATACTGTTCATAATTATTGGAATTCGACCGATTCAAGTGCGCCAAATTGGTCGAACAAAAGCGAATCGCCGCGACAAATTTCAAATAAGAATTTTTGAACTTTTATTCGAATACTCTTGGGTTTAAATTTACTTTTTTCATTGTTTTGGCAGGCGAGTAGTGAAAGGGCTTAATTTTACTTTTTATAAAAAATTTGCTTTCTAAAGAAAGTTCTTGCCATTTTTTCACTTGTAAAGAAAGTCCTTGCAATTTTTCACTTTCTAAAGAAAGTTCTTGTCATTTTTTGTTATGTAAATATAGTTCTTGTCATTTTTTTTTGTAAAGAAAGTTCTTGCCATTTTTTGTATTGTAAAGAAAGTTCTTGCAATTTTTTGTTTTGTAAAGAAAGTCCTTGCTTTTTTTCTATAAAAAACGAAATCTAGTCTTTTGCAGCCTGCGGGTGACAAGTTATACGATGATATAAAACTTATGGCTTATTCTGTTTTGTAAAGAAAATGCTTGCCATTTTTCTTTTTGTAACGAAAGTTTTTGCCATTTTCCAAACATTCTAATCACTTTTCTATTGTTTCATAACATACTTTACCTTGTCACTCATTCATTTACCTCGCTGACACCAATCGCCTTGAAAAACATACGATTGGGTCACAAACGGATGTAAAGCATGTACCTTGGATCATGGGCTTTGATGTCCGCTTCCGAATCATGTCAAAACACAATGGAAACAAGGAGGTGGCGGTGTTTTGATGTATAGTAAAGGAGTTTTGGCTTTTTTGATGTTATACATGACATTTGGGGGTGCTGGATTTGAATGTCATTTTTAATTTGAGTTAGGTGAGATTTTTGGGTTATTGTTTTTTGATATGGTAAAGGTGGGCATGTTTTGTCATATTTATTAATATTTTTTGGTTTTGTTCATTAGCTTTGTCATTTTTTAAAAATTTTTTATTTTTTTGTATGGGATGTCCCCTGCCATTTTCTATTGTATGGTAAGCAAAAAAATGGTATTTTATGACTTACTAAGCCATAAAAATGACATAGCTATAATTTTTTCAATTTTTGATTATTAGTTTTGTCATAATTTAAAATTTTTAAAACTTCTCGTATAACATGTCCCCTACTATGCCACTTTACATAGTATACTAGTCCAAAAATGCGGTTTTATGACTTTTTATGACTTGCTAGACTTAAAAAAGGCTAAATTTTAATTTTTTTCATTTTTGGTTCATAAATAATGGCATTTTTCAAATTTTAAAAATTTTGTGTACAACATGTCTCATATGCCATTTTACATAGAATACTAGTCTAAAAAAAGATTTTATGATATTCTAAGCTATAAAAATGCCATATTGTTAATTTTTTTCAGTTTTTAATTATTAGTTTTGTCATAATTTTAATTTTAAAAATTTTGGGTACAACATGTCCCCCCTTCCCCTTCCCCCCCCATTCATTCTACCATTTCACTATATAAACCTAGTAAGAATTAAAAAAGTATCATATTGTTTGATCTTATGAATACAAAGCCACCAGTATTAATTTCTCCACTCCGCGCTTTACTTTGTTTTGATTAATATGGTCTTATTCATAGTGCGAGGATGAGTAATATAGTAAGTCGCCGCGGTTTCCCATAAAGTCAGGTTTTGATGGTCTCGGTAAATAGAACTGGCTTTTAGGGTAGTGGAGTTAATAGTAAGGTATTTTGAGTTGGGTAGTGTAGAGGGTTGGATATGGTACGGTAGAGTAGGGTAGGGTGGGTGGAGTACGGTAGGGTGGGGTGGGGGTACGGTAGGATGAGATAAGGTAGCATAGAAATGAAAGAGAGGTTCAAAAGGCCAAGTTTAAAAAATTG